TATTGCGCTTTCGCCGCTTTCGCATCGCATTGTCGCCGATGTTGAGAAGATGTTTCGACAGGTACTTGTTAAACATCACTATATACCGCCTTACAACGGTGACTTGTGGCATGGCTGCAGTCCCTACAACGCGGTCCGCGCAATCAACCAATGCGCATATGATAACTACAAGGTGGTCGCTGATAGTCAATAAATCGATAGCGGCACGCGATGCGATCTTGTCGTCTTTTTATGTCGACGTTTGTTTTACAAGCTGTGATACCGAAGAAAATGCAACTGAACTTGCAGCCAACGTGACTTCCATATTGTCTGAAGGCCACTTCCATTTACGTAAATGGAACTCCAGTAGTGGTGAAATATTAGCACGCTTGATTGGCAAGGTTCTTCTAACGTAGAGATGACCATCGAATCACCAACAGCAACTATACTTGGGCTTCGATGTGATGCAGCGGCAGATGAGCTGTTTTTCAAGGTAGATCTGAAAGAGAACATAGGCTTTCTAACGAAGCGACGCGTACTAAGTGACGTCGCAAAACTATTCGACCCTATCGGCATACTGGCACCAGTTATTGTTACTGGAAAAATATTCATACAAAGGTTGTGGGCTGCTGGCTTGTCGTGGGACGAACCACTTCCAGATGAACTTCAAACCATCTGGGTAGCTTTTTACAGCGAGCTCGACGTAATAAACAAAATCCGGATTCCGCGATGGTTAGGTATGGCTGAAGGAAGAGCTACTATCCTGCTAGGAATTTGCGATGCCAGTACGGTCGCGTATGCAGCTGTAATATATATTAAAGCCACAGATGCGGAAGGTCATTCAGCCGTATCACTGCTTACCAAGGTGGCCTCCTTCAAAGGAGCAACGATCCCGCGTCTGGAGCTTTGTGTCGCACTTCTGCTCGCTGTTACCCTCGAAAACGTACGTATTGCCTTGAGATTAACAGATACTCCTTGTTACCTCTGGTCTGATTCTCGGATTGTGTTGTGTTGGCTACGCAAGCCGCCCACTACTCTTAAGCAGTTTGTGTCGAACCGGGTGCGTCAAACACATGAGTGACCATACTTATTTTATTATGTAGCTCATTTTAAAGGGGAGGGGGTTGAGTATTGTAAGAAATTAACTTGTGTCAAAACCAAGCTAATTGGACAATGTGTTTGAGTACTACCTAAACAAATATACTCATCATTTGAACATACTGTTACGATTATCCTCGAAACCTTGAGGGATTTCCCAAATATACTCGGGCTCGTATCGCTGGATTGTTAAATAAATGCTAACGATGACCAAATTGTAGTACAATTAACTTTATTGTACAACAAACAATTTACAATACTTGCTAATACAGTAAAAACACTTTACAATACTTGTTAAAGCAATAACAACGCTTTACTACTTGTTAACACAATTAAACTTATAGCTTGCTTATTCGCAACTCGATTCTCCGCTCACTTTACTTGTAGCTTGCTGACTTGTAACTTCGTAACTAACTCACCTCGTGGTGGCGGCGCCCTTATATACCTGCGCTGGCACTTATGGCAACTCTAGAACATTCTGAAGTTTATCGCTCATTCTCTTTCTCTCGCTGTTCGCAGTGTTCATCCAACTTGACGTTTCTCTTTGTGGAACATTCTACGTCATTCCTCGAACATTCTGCCTATTTCTCGTTGTTCGCTTTGTGTTGCCGCAGTATTCGCCACACTGCCCTCCACCTAAGTCTGATCGTCCCGATCAGACACACTTGCTGCTCCAAACGTTGCTAGTCTTTCATCTTGGTTCTCGGTCTCCCAGCTGTCTGGATTCGATGCACTGCGTCCTTCAGCCGTTTGTCAATCCTATACGGACCTTTCCAGTTACGATGTTGTTCGGAGGTGAAGCCTTTCTTCGGCTGCGGCATGTGCAACAACACCGAATCACCTTCCTGTAGCTCCTCTCGGCTCGATGCGTTACTGGACATTGCTTCCAGCTTATCTCCGGTGGTGCACCATCTCACATGGTCGTGCTTCTGCCGGCCACTGGTGGTGACCAGACCATGTCTCTTCTCATGGGCACCCTTTTCGCCAGATCTATGCCGCATCCTCTGTCCATGACACCGAGGCTCCTGCCTTCGTACTGCACTGCCTTTAGCACATCTTGCTAAATCCGGTTCCTCACGCTGAAACTTTCCCAGTGTTTCCGCATCTCGCTCTTTCGCCGGCGTCAACCTCATTGACCGGACATGTATAATCTCATCCTTGGCTTCCGGCTTAACTGCTCGCCTTTGCCGACCACCTTTTTCGGGACACTTCAAAGCGCGCCTACTGCTTCCACAGCCGCTTCCATTTCCGGCCACCGGCGTATCACCATTGCAACGTGGTTCAGTGGCCTTCCTCCTGCCGGATACACTGCCTGGCTCGCCATGACCACTACCTTGTTGCGACCTTTTCTTCACTGAGCTAGCGGAACCGTCACGCTTTTCCTGTATCGGTGAACCGCTTCCTTCTCCTGACGAAACCACTCCGTCTCCATCACTGCCAACCTCCGCCCAACTAACCGCTTCCGTTTCTGGTGGAATCTTCGACACTTCCTCTAAGACTAACCGTCTGCTGCAGTACTGGCTGTCGTAACCAACCCTAAGTGGCACTTTCCTGTGACGATCTGTCAGGATCATTCTCTGGAGGTCAATCTTCATGCCTTGGCCAAGTAAGAAATCCACGCCGATGATGACTTCATCCACAATGTCTGCCACTATAAACTTAGTGTACGAGGCCCAATCGTCGATTATTACCTCGCATGGTACTTCTCCTAATACTTGGGTGCATTCACCAGTTGCAGTCTGCAGCTTTGCTCCAGGTAGTGGCTTCACATAAAAAGTGGCCAAATCCGGTCGAATAATGGAATGTGTCGCTCCAGTATCCACTGTCAGTACTCTCTCCTGCCCATTCACACATCCACCAATAGTGAGGTTGCTCGCATTCCGGCCAATTTGTGAGACGGAGATTATGGGCCCTTCAACTTCTGGAGCCAGCACGCGGCCCTTCCTGCTGGCTCGTTTCAGTTTAACGACTGATTGGAGTTGGCTTCGTCTCCTTCAGCCCTGCGTTTGCGTCCTGCTGAATTGTTGAGACCATTGGGACTTGCGCTGCAATCGCGGGCGAAGTGGCCTGACTTTCCACATTTAAAACATTTGCCAGAACCATGCTTTTTCTCGCCCAGCAGTTGGATAATCTTCTTCAGCATTTCATTTGTCTCTTCCGGTGCTTCCACTTCCACACGATGTGCTTTGTAGGCTGGTCTACTTAGGAGCGCCGCCGTTTCACGCGTCTGAGCATACGAGACAGTTTCAGCAAATGTTGGCTTTGGATTCGCGTACGTCTCTCGCTTGGTATACACGTCCCGCATTCCGTTGATGAACCTCTGGATTTTTACTCTTTCGAGGTGCTCACCAGATGCATCTCCAATTGCCAAATGAGCCAACCTTTCGATCTCGGAGGCGAATTCCTGTAAAGTCTCGTTGGATTTCTGGCAGCGATTCTCCAGCTCCATCTGGTAAATCTGTCTCCTGTGCTCGCTACCATAACGTCTTTCCACTGCACCCATTAACGCATCGTAACTGTTCCTTTCACAATCAGGAATAGTCTGCAAGATTTCCGCTGCAGGTCCTTTTAATGCAACGAACAATGCAGCGGATTTATCCTCCATGCTCCAGTGATTTGCTGTAGCTGTCTTTTCAAACTGGAGCTTAAAGACCTGGAAAGGAATCGTGCCGTCAAAGGATGGGGTTTTTACCTTGGGAGCGTTCGTCGAAGTAGCTGGACGATTCAACTGCAAACCCCGGAAACGATCTTCAAGCTCATCCACCTTAGCTTCGACTTTCTCCTGTTTTTCCCTAATAAGCGCTTCAATTTTATCTTGTCGTTCCTCGATTTTATCCTGTCTCTCTCTCAGTTCCGCGTTATTTTTGAATAAATTCTCTTGTAGCTGAGTAATCTTTTCATCTAGCTGCGATGATATGCGTGTTTCCTGCACTTGCAGCTGGGATGAAATCTGTGAGGACATCTTTGACATGCGTGTATCCTGTGCTTGCATCTGTGACGACAGCTGTGATGACATCTGTGACATGGCAGCCAATAACGTGTTCATGTCCATAGCTGTTGATGAACTTGGAGACTTTTGCTGTTCTTCAACCTTCCCGGATGTCTGCTGCACATCCTTCGACGAACAAGCGGCCTCATCCTTCTGTTCATCCTTTGCGGATGCATCGTCGAGTTTACCCTGGAAGTCGTATTTGTCCACGTCGATGCCTTCTGCTTCCATAGCCTCTCGCAGCCGTGATAGTAACTCCACTTTTCTTCCGGAGGTTGCTAAATTTCGCTTCTCCAACTCCTGTTTGAGTTCCTCAATCTTTAAGTCCTGAATTTTTGCCATTTTCAAAAGTTTATCCTTCGGGATTTATTTAACAATCCCACTTCTGACACCTATTGTTACGATTATCCTCGAAACCTTGAGGGATTTCCCAAATATACTCGGGCTCGTATCGCTGGATTGTTAAATAAATGCTAACGATGACCAAATTGTAGTACAATTAACTTTATTGTACAACAAACAATTTACAATACTTGCTAATACAGTAAAAACACTTTACAATACTTGTTAAAGCAATAACAACGCTTTACTACTTGTTAACACAATTAAACTTATAGCTTGCTTATTCGCCACTCAATTCTCCGCTCACTTTACTTGTAGCTTGCTGACTTGTAACTAACTCACCTCGTGGTGGCGGCGCCCTTATATACCTGCGCTGGCACTTATGGCAACTCTAGAACATTCTGAAGTTTATCGCTCATTCTCTTTCTCTCGCTGTTCGCAGTGTTCATCCAACTTGACGTTTCTCTTTGTGGAACATTCTACGTCATTCTTCGAACATTCTGCCTATTTCTCGTTGTTCGCTTTGTGTTGCCGCAGTATTCGCCACAATACAAAAAAACAGTAAAGTCTGTTTTACGAAAGCCAAATCTGTTTAACATTTTATTTACTGCCTTTACACTTGTTTTAACGTTTGCCATCTTTTTACATTAAAATAGTGCAATATTTTAGCTGCTATTACTTTCGCACAGAAAAAGTAATCATTCGACCTAATGTGCATTGGTAGTCAGCCCAACAGAAATCGACAGCGCTCTCAATATACTAATTCGAAATGGGCAACACGATAACTTTGCAGTTGATTTGGCCCAAATTCGAAAAGGAACTAGTTCGAGCAAGCTAAAATAATTGAATCCATACATGGATGACACAGGCGTTCTGCATGTCGGAGGCCGCATCAGTAAAGCTGATCTGCCAGAAGATAGGCGATACTCCATAATCTTACCTAAACACGGTAGACTAGTCGAGCTGATAATCAGACATGCACATGAAACAACGCTTCATGGTGGACCGCAACTGGTCCTCCAAACTCTACGCTCGCGTTATTGGATATTGAATGGTAGACAAGCCGTTCTAAGTTATGGACAGAAGTGTGTTATCTGCCGCCGACACCGTGGCGGGACTCTTTCGCAGCAAATGGCATCATTACCAAGACAACGTATCAGTACTTCACGGGCGTCTGTGTCTTCAGGGGTCGACTATTGCGGTCTGTTTACGGTGCGCGTTGGCGCAAAACGGTCGTGCACCAAGGTAAAGGCATATTTAACCATTTTTGTTTGCATGGCAACCAAGGAGGTGCATATTGAGGTTGTCGATGACCTCTCTTGCAAGCTTTCCTGGATGCATTTACGAAATTCGTCAGACGGCGAGGTCCTTGCCGCGATATTTTTAGCGATAACGGCACTGCATTTGTCGGCGCAAACCGCCTCCTTCTAGAAGACTTGGCAGCATGGCACAGTGAAGGTACTCAACAGTCTTTGGCTAATAAAGGGACCTGTTGGCACTTCATCGCCCCGGGCGCTCCTCACCAAGGTGGGCTATGGGAGGCCGTAGTGAAGTCTGCCAAATATCACTTAGTCCGTCTCGTTGGGACACAGGTACTATGGCAGCCCGCATCGAGGCGTGTTTAAATTCCCGGCAGCCCACACCGGTATATGATGACCCCAGCAATGGCTTTGGGTGCGTCAGGTACACCAAAGATTTTGGCTACGTTTTAGCGAGGAGTATTTACCTACATTGCAAACTCGCAACAAAGGGCAGAAACCTACAAGAGATGTGCAGATAGGTGACGTTGTTCTCGTACGAAAGGAAAATCTTCCTCCTACCCATTGGCGTTTAGGACGCATAACTGAGATTCATCCGGGTAGCGATGGATTAGCCAATGTTACGCTTCGGACGGCGAGCGGAACCATGACCCGGGCAGTACAAAAACTATGTTGGCTTCTTGATAGTGAACATTTCGAGTCCAAGGCCTTGACCGGGCAGGATGTTCAGAACTCGACAGATCTGGCCACCACTTAAATGTTCGTGGTAAGAAACTGGTGTCGCTGAAGAGCGGCTGCCGTCCAGTGCTCTTATATACTCCCAATTTTATATCCATATGTTTGTACCTATTTTGTAAACTCATGTACTTGTACGTAACCATATACATAAATATATTGTATGTAAGCACAGTTAGCCGTTACCAGCATTCACTTAGCTTTGTTTTGCTATATATACTTACATATGTGTCCAACTTTGTAAAATAAAATAGAAGTGTTGGGAAATAACGCGTTTTATTAAGCTCCGTACAGAACACCCACCATTAAGTCATTTTTCCCATCACCATTTCACTTGATGCTATGCTTCAAGTGCGGGATGCCTGTCGATTTCTACGCCAAAAACCTGATAAAAGCCCAGAAGGAGACTAGGTGCACGTCATCCGTCCTCAATATGATATGCTTCTCATGTGGAGGTGACACTTCTTATTGCGTTTTCAAGCCTGAGAAGGGAAACGGGACACTGACGGAGATCATCGGGGACCCCTGCCAGGAGATGCAAAACCCGGAGAACAAGCAATGGCAATCCTCAGAAGAGAAAAAGGTAATGAAGTAGCTAGTAAGATAGAGGTAGGATAGAAACAGGAAATAAAAAGTTTGCATGAGAGAAAGATTGAATATGAAGCCGCTAGGAAAAGAATACTTTGTGATGAGATTTTAAAGAAGAGGAATAACCGGAATTTTAAGAAAATACAAAAAATGAAAGAGAAGAGGAAAATGTTTTGAAGAATTTACAAAAAAATAATTTCAACTATAGTGACGGTGAAAGGGGATAATAGGTTCTTTGCCCATACCAAGATAGGAGGAAAATACGCACTAGCTCTACTAGATTCTGGGGCAGGAGCAAGCTGCCTAGGTAAAGACGCATACCGGTTTTTACAAGGCAGTGAAGACAGTATTTTACCGATAGCAAATCAGAAGATTAGAACAGCAAATGGAAACGAAACTCCAGTGACCGGAGTAATAAATCTTTCTGTATTATGGTTTGGAATAAGCAGAAACCTCGAGTTTTTGATAGTGGCAGGCTTACAACAGGAAGTGTATTTAGGGATCGATTTCTGGAAGGCTTTTAACTTGAATGTCGTTAGTAAGGGGGCGACTCCACATCCCGCACTTGCAACAGTGGCTGAGCTCACGCCCGCTGATGGTGACCTGTCCTTCGACGCAGTCCAACACGAACTTACGCCGGAACAGACCAATGCGTTGGAAAGGGTGAAAGCTCAGTTCCCATTATTCGCGGTATTAGGATTAGATCGGACAGATTTAGAGCAACATGTGATAGTGGTAACTGATGTGAATCTACCGGCAAAGCAAAGACACTATCCGATATCGCCAGCCATACAAAAGCTAGTTTTTGCAGAACTAGATAGGATGCTGAGCATGGGCGTCATAGAAGAATCTAACAGTAGTTGGAGCTCCCCCGTTTCTTTGGTGATATAAGGGACTAAGAATCGCCTATGTTTAGACGCTCGTAAAGTGAATGAGAGAACCACAAAGGACGCGTACCCGCGATCTCATATCGACGGAATATTGAGTAGGTTACAGAACACAAGATTTGTTTCCGCAATCGACTTGAAATACGCTTTCTGGCAGATTCCGTTAGATAGACTGAATTTACGGTACCATGTCGACCACTATATCAATTTACAGTTATGCCTTTTGGACTTTGCATCGCGACACAGATAATGTGTCGCTTAATGGACAAGGTTATAGCCGCTTCGTTACGTGAGTGTGTGTTTGTCTATTTGGATGATCTGTTAGTGTGTTCAGAAGAATTTTCGTCTCATTTATTTTTATTAGAAAAGGTCGCTCGGTGTTTGCGTTAGGCTAAATTAACAATAAATGTAGAGAAAAGCAAGCTTTGCTACAAAGGGGTGCGGTATCTCGGCTACGTAGTCGGGGATGAAAGCATTAGAATGGATGCCTACAAGGTAGCAGTTGTGAGGGAATTTCCAGAACCCAAAACCCAAAAACTACTACGGCGGTTCCTGGGCATGTCGGGCGGATACCGACGTTTCATCCAGGACTATGCGACCATTGCAGCTCCGCTGCACGACTGCCTCTCCAAAGACAATATAAAAAATTCGACATGACTGACGAAGCGAGGAGATCCTTTGATCGATTGAAACAAAGTCTGATCTCGGCACCCGTACTGATACAACCGGACTTTAATAGACGTTTCTATATTCAATGCGACGCATCAACTGACGGAGTGGGTGGGGTACTGTTTCAATTAGACGATGATAACAACGAACGACCGATCGCGTACATTTCAGCGAAGCTAAATAAAGCGCAGAAGAACTACAGCATAACCGAACTAGAATGGTATACTGCAGTTTTGAGCGTGAAAAGGTTCAGGCCATATGTAAAGGGGCTCTCATTTACGATAATAACTGATCATGCCAGCCTGAAATAGCTCATGAATCAAAAATATTTGGTTGGCAGATTAGCGAGGTGGAGCCTGAAACTCCAAGGATATAATTTTGATATCCAACATAGAAAGGGAGCGCTAAACATCGTACCCGATAGTTTATCTCCCATTAATATGGACGAATTGAAAATAAATGAAAGAATGATTGATGTTTGCCTTGAGTCTCCATATTTCGAGTCTTAGGAATACGCTGAGCTGAAAAAGACTGTGACAGAGAACCAGAACAGGATTCCAGACCTGTGCTACATTTACCGATGAACACAGTTTAACAGGTGGGATGGACTTTAAGCGGACCAAGCCTGGAAGCTCTGGGTTCCGTCGGGGTTAAAACCGGGGCTGGTAGAGTCTTCGCACAGCTCACTTTCCGTTGGTCATGGTGGCATCCATAAAACTCTGGCACGGCTACGAGAGAAATATTACTGGCCGGGGATGGTAGCTGATGTATGTACACACGTAAAGGCATGTGAAGTTTGCAAATCAATTAAAACGCAAAATGTTTTTAATAAACCGCTAATGGGGATACAGCATATCACTGAGCGACCTTTTCAGCGATTGTTCATAGATTTCATTGGTCTGTACCCTCGTACTCGTGATGGTAATGTGTATGTCTTTGTGTGTCTCGATAATTTTTCTAAGTTCGTGTTTTTAAAAGCTATGCGTAAAGCAACCTCAGCTGAAGTGATAAAATTTTTAGAAAAAGATGTTTTCCATATATTCGGAGTCCCGGAATATGTCCATTCGGACAATGGAAAACAATTCACTTCTCACATGTTTACCAGTTTCTTAGGTAAATACGGCACGAAGCATGTCAAAACCGCTTTCTATTCACCACAAGGAAATGCGGCAGTAAGAGTCAACCGATCGATGCTACAGATCATTAGGTCATTCATAAAAGAGAACCAGCGTAACTGGGATAAGCATGTCAGTGATGCTGCCTTCGCGCTTCGCAGTGTTGCACGCTCGGCAATAAACACATCGCCACCATACCACACCACTTTCGGTATGCCTTTGATACAGCATGCTGCATCATATGAGCTATACCCAAAGTTGGGCGCCTTAAGAGATAGTGATTGCGAAGTTGAGGCAGCAAACGACAGGGTGCAACTATTGAGAAATACAATTATGAAAGAGCTAAAGTTAGCCCACGAAAGGAGCAAAAAGGTTTATGGCACGAGAAACAGGGACGTCAAGTTTCAAATTGGACAAGTGGTATATCTTCGAAACTTTAAACAAAGCTCGCAACTAGAAAATTATAATGCCAAATTAGCTCGAAGGCAAATTAAATGTATAGTTTTAAAGGTTATAGGTAATGTTATGTACGAGCTTGGAGACAGTAGCGGGAAGAGGATCGGCATATACCACGCTAAGGACATTTTTGCAAAGTAGATTCTAGTTTTATGTAGTCTTGTTCTTATTGTAGCATGTTTGCTGTTCGTGCCAGATGTTTTATGTTGCTTGTTTTCGTTTTACCTAATTGACTCTTGGTTATATCTGACTTTCTATTCATATTGACTAATGTACTCATTTATTTATTTTCGTATTTATTTATTTATTTCTATACTTGACTAATGTACTCATTTATTTATTTTCGTAATTGTTTATTTATTTATTTCTATACTTGGCTAATTCTCTTATTTATTAATTTTTGCAATTAATTATCTATTTTTTTACTTGTGTTTAGGCCAGCGTCTTAAATATACAATTTAACATTTAACATTTGTACATAAGATAACAGTTTACTGCTTTCTATTGTCGAACGCTAGCTATGTTAAAATTTCCCTTACATAAAAAGCCGTTCGATGAGCTAACGTCATTAAAAAAAAAAAGAACGGACTGTTACTTGTTTTCCGAACATCCATTTGAGAAGTCGTCATAGTTCCACCAATTTTCATCGCTTCATCCAGCTATATACATATATAAGGTAACCTGAAAATAGTTTTACACATATTAATTTATATTCAGACAATATAGCAATCTAAATTCTATTTTTTAATACAACCTTTCTTATATTAATTTCTTTACCAAGCGTAGCGACAAAAAAACATATATTTAATCTATTAATTTGTTCCAAATATTTAGTACTCCTCCTCTTAGTTCGCATACGATTTTTCGCAGTTTTTTTTGCAGCACATTTAGTATACATCTATGTAGGTTTTATAAATCAGTTGAGTTTTCTTGTTTTTGATCCATAATTTTGTGTTGACTAGTAAAATTGCGATTCCTTAATTTTCTTAGCATTTCATACTTATACTTACTTATGTATTTCCGAATTTCGAATTTCCAGTATGTTATCCTGCCTACCTTTTGGATTTCATTTATTTAATTTTTTTTTGTTTTGCGCAAGTTTCACTGTCTGGAAATTAATCTGATTTCTTTATCTATATTTTTTATGCTATTTTATTAAGTTGTTCGCAAAGTTGGCACCTAGCTTCGTTTTTCGTATTGCGTAAACACCTTTTTTAAATTTCTGGGTTGAGGCACTTAAACGGGTCACACATTTTTATTAGGTGTACATACGTTAGAGTATCTCTCCCCCCCACAGGATCCCAACAACATGCTGGTACCATCATCGTTGGAGGTGACAGGTGAGTGAGAAGCGTTATGTTACTATATATCAGAGCTGGGCAAAAGCAAAGCAGCGAATTTCGATTCAGTCTGCTTGCAGATTTCACCAAGGTAACATTATGCTCGGCTGTGGATTGTTTTTCTTCGTAATTTTAGCACGCGCTTGCACCAGTTTGCGTAGAAAATTTACAAAAAATCCCCAAAGCAAAAAGTGGTGTGTTTTTCTTAGATTGCTGTTTGCATGCATTTGCGACGATTCAAACACAAAATAGTGCGACCCTATATAAGAACTAGAGTTTATTGTCCAAAGAACTTTCAACAAGCCGCAATATCCATTATGTGGTTATGCCTACGTATTTTTAATACAAGCAAACTGTATTTTGCATGCCGTGACAATTAAAAAAAAAGTAAAATGAGCTGCTTGCTGACCAACGTTCAATAATTTTGTGATAAGTTGCATGATTTTTATAAAAAAACGTGCCCAAATAGCATGCCATATTTTAGAATGATTTGTTTCTATCTAAAGAAATCGATATAGAAATTTAAATGCTGGTTTATATGCAAAAATACTTAATGAATAATATTTATAAGTTATATTCTATTTTTAGCACTAAATTCCTATTTATATGAAAATAATAAAATCTAAACAACGAAATTATCTATCCGGCAGGCATTTCAAAGATTAGATTCCAATAAAATTATGTGCAGGTATTTAACAAATGAGTTAAACCTATTTAAATTTTTTACAAGTATTATATTTTTCGTACGGAAAAGTTTCTATAAACT